TGCTAAGTACTTGATCGAATTGAGTGATCTTAGATTCAAAAGAAAGCCTGAATTCTATTGCACATAATATTCAAAACCTATTTATTGTTAATATTTAGTAGTTATTTAATATTTGATGCATTTTAATGATATTATTAAATATCTTTACATTTCTCTTCTTTTTGACAATTTGTATATTATTGTTGCTTGCTCACATTATCTAATTATTTTAATTGTCATTATTTATGTAGAAATGAAATGTAAAAGAAAAACTTTAAACTGCATTTATTTCTTACAATTGGACAAAAATTTTACTTGCAGATCATCATCCAATTTTGCAATTATTTACAACAAAATGTTGCAACTTTTTGCAACAAAATGTGGTACACTTTTGTCCAGCATGGTGTGCCATAAGTGGCATATATGCAGTGTTGAAAATTCAGTGCGGGGAATGCGGGGTGTCACGTTATACAAATATTGGCCAATAAAAATCGACGGGGCTTTGTGCAGAAAATTTGTGTAACTTTTTTGTAAATCAAATTTATTTAACAGGAGAGACCGTCCTATATAAGGAATGGATTTTCACAATTGATTACAATTTTTTTTATACAGTTTAAAAACTTTTACAAGGGTATCATGTACATCAGGAAAATTGATTTGAAAAAATGCATAGAATATACGAAGATATAGCATGCAATTAGCATACAGCTGTGCGCTAATCTCAATAATTGTAGGGATTAAACGCACAGCTGTATGCCATATCTATGCATAATTTGCGTTTAAAATATGCGTGAGTTTATTGTTCGCTTATTGTTTGCTAATTATATGTATAATATGCACATAAAATACACACAGGATTATTGTTTGTAGATTCTACATTCAGAATTGTTTGCATTTATAGGTTTTAATATTTATTATTTATTTTTATTTACAGTATATAAAATTAATTTTATTACAAAACTATTGAAGTAATAAAATAATTGCATTAGAGCTTTTCCATCCTGATGCATAATTAAAATAAAATTGATATAAAAATAGATTGAGTAATATAAATAGTAATCATATAATATATGTTAGAAATTTGATTATAATTAGAGAAATAAATTCAAATTGTTACCATATTGAATATGGGTCTGATTCATTTTGTCAACAATCATTTCGTCGACAATCATTTCGTCGAAAGTTTGTTTCGTCGAAAGTTCATTTTGTCGAAAGTTCATTTTGTCGAAAATTATTTCGTCGAAAGTTCATTTTGTCGAAAGTTCATTTTGTCGAAAATTATTTTGTCAACAGTTCATTTCTACAACAATTCATGTTAATTTGCATGTATTATAGTGTTACCAATTATGTTTGAATTAATTGATGATAACAATTGTTTATGCGGATCAGAATGAATAGGTTTACTAACATATTAGTTTAATTAGTGGATAATTTTGGTTTAAAAAGATAATAAATGTTTATTTATTTTATTTAGTCAAGGGTAATTAAAGATTTAGAAGAGAACGGTCATGTGAGCTATGTTTTAACACAAAATTTTAGTCCATGTAATCATTTATTGTCCAATCAAAATCGTGAATTTGATAACGTAAATGAATTATTTATTTATGAGAGTTAATAAAAATATTCGACAAATGGTTCAAAATTAAGAAATTGGAAGAAAGCATGCAACAAACCTTCAAAATAGTCTAATAAATTAAATTGTACTACTTGAAGATGTATTTAAAGGGTTGGTTTTCGACTTGGTCGAAAAACAAACATTCGTTTTGCAATCTTGATTAACATTTACTTTGATCAAACCCGTCTATATAATTATTTGAACAATTGATAATAATAAAAATGTTAATTAAATATATTTTACAAACAGCTTCATAGATCTCGACTACTTTAATACTTACTTCAATCAAACCTGCCTATATAATTATTGATAAACATTCATTTTGCAACCTTGATTAACATTTACTTTGATCAAACCCGCCTATATAATTATTTGAATAATTGATAATAATAAAATGTTAATAAATATATTTTACAAACAGCTTCATAGGTCTCGACTACTTTAATACTTACTTCAATCAAACCAGCCTATACAATTATTGAATAATGATAAACATTCATTTTTCAAACTTCATAGATCTCAATTAACACTCAAACCCGCCTATATAATTATTTGAATAATTAATAAAGCGCTCATTAAATATATTTTACAAACAGATTCATAGATCTTGACTTTTAACACTTATATTGATACAAGATATTCAATAATTGATCAGTATATTTTACAAACTTGCTTTGGAAGCTTGTATGTCGTCATACATCTTGTATTTAATGGTCTACTTTTCTTTGAATTTTATTTTTTTTTTAGATTACACAACAAAATTATAGAATAAATTTAATCCAATGAAATGGTTGGTATCCCATATTTTGCACAACTTGAAAAAAAGTTGATATATAAGTCATAAAATTGGTTTAATAGTATCGACTGAGGGAAAAGCATGCAATGTGAAGTACCGGGTATAGTCCCCTGTGTCCGGCTCCCTTAGGTGCAATGCCTCACTTTGGACCAGCTGTAAAGTCCCACGTGTGGGGGAGGTGAAACTGACGCGGGTGGCTCATGTTGGGTGTATTGAAACAGGAGAGAACGTACTGGGAACACAAAAATTAACAGGAGGGAATACAAAATTTTAACCCATGCAATTTTGTTGAT